CAGGGTATCCCCAGATCCGGGTTAGGATCTATGTAACTCCGAAACAGCCCACAATAATAAAGCAAACATACACAACAATTGAAAACACAAGTGATCTTAGTCCTAAGGTACACCCCACTTTATAAGATTCCCCAGCAGAGTCGCCAGTTCTGTGATCGGTGGATCTGGAACTGACTGTTTAACGCTGGTTCACGAAATGTCGCGGAAGCAAGAGTCGCCACTGTCTTTTATTTTCTCCAACATGGACAGGACAAAAGCACAGCAAAATTCCTTATGAGATAGTTTCTCGGTTCGGGAGGTAGATTTATAGAAAGGGAAGGTGTTAGCACCCTTTCTATCCATGGTTATCCATGGGCTCTTAGATACTTGCTCATTTGTGTTTTCAAAATGTTTGCTTTTCAATTGTGAGTGGGTTTGAAAAAGTTTCGTTTAAAGATTTCAGATCGACTCTTGTATCAGTCCTCAAGAGTGTTTGAAAAATTGTTTTGAAAACTTTTTGAAAAATGTCGGTGTGAAAAGAGTTTTTTGATTTGTTTTTGAATAGAGAAAGTATCTACGAGTCATCTACCTACCCTAAGGAATTAAGTTGTGTAGAAGTCCTTAAGGTAGTGCCATTCCACCATTGAGAGGTAGGTAGCACCACCGTTGGAGGTGTTCGGGTCAATTCGTTTGTAGGGACAGTGTGGTCACCGGAGCAACAGTAGGACACCTTAGAAGCTACCCTTATGCCATTGATCCTTTTTAATTCCGAGGCAACCATTTCGAGGCAACTGGATCATGTTATGGACATAAGGACTTACTAAAACGTCCTATACTCGACGACCACGTTTCGATGGCAAGGCAAAAGTGAGGCGTACCCTAAGAGTGGTGTGTGAATTTGTGTGTTATTTTCAGTTATACTTTATCTTGTACATGTATCATGGTGATCTACACTTGTTTTTAATTTAGGCCATTCATTCTTTCATGCAATTATAATTTAAAAGTGCGGAAATTTAAATGCGGAAAGTAAAATCCTACGCTATTACAAGGCGCGGGTCTATACATCGCCAAATTACAAAGACCCGTTTTAATAAAAAATGCGGAAAGTAAAACCTAGTTATTATTACATGGCTTGAGCAGTTACATAATATTCACAAAGAAAAAAAGAATAAATGCGCGAAAGAATAAAAATAGAATGTTCGAGGGCGTTGGACCCTTTTGAAATTAAATTGAATTAAAAGTTAAGTTATTATTTAATAAAAGGAAAGAAATATTTTTTAGGTTTTTAGTATTTAATGAAAAAAAAAAAAAAAAAAAAAATTAAAATTAAAAGAAACCCTAGTTCTAAGTTATTTTAATTATTAAGAAAACATTAAAGTTTAACCTAATTTACTAATCAATTAATATACATGTTTATTTACAAAATAAATTAGTAATTAATAATAATGATAATAAGAAAAAATTATTTATTAAGAAAAGGATGAAAATGCTAAAAAAACCCTAATTTCTACATATTTTAATTTATATAAAAAAAGTATTAAAATTGAAACCTAAATTAATCTAAATTAATTATTTAAAGTTTATTTACAAAATAAATTAATGGTGAAATAATAATAATTAACTATATTTTTAGTTTCTGATTTTTTATTATGAGAATTGATTTGTGAAATTAAAGAAAACAATTAAAAAAACAATTAAAAGAATCAAAAGGAAAATCAAATAAAAAATAAACATGATGCAAACCATGGGGGGTGTTTGACCCTTTTGGAGGTTAATTGAGAAATTCAGGCCCAAGATTGCAAAGCCTGCGTTGACTTTCCAGCTTGAATGTTCATCCATTGACTGAGGTGCATGGTAGACATCCTATTGTGACCTTCAGATTGACCATCAGATCCACTTGGCAGGCACAGGCAAGGGCGTGCATGGTGAGCCATTGAGACTACACTGCATGGGAATATAGTACAACAAAAATTATGGATTAAATGGGGGGACCTGGGAATCAAACCCAGGTCCCAATACCTGCAAGCCACCTCAGCCACCAACTGAACCAACGCGTTTCTTTGTTAATATAATGGAATACAAATAATATATATGAAAAAAACAACATTATGCTGAAACAATCAAAAAACGCGCCAACATTCAAATCCTCCAACCACGCTCAGACACCTCAGCGTCTTCTTCATATTTGTACCTGTAACATAAGCAAATAGCGGGGGTTTTAAACCCCCACTAAACAAGACCTGTAAAAATAGCGAATAGCCCATGCTGTAATATAAAAAGGGCGCGAGGTGTTGGTTGGTCTTGTCTTGAGGTCACGAGTCCAATGGCATAGGTTTGGTGGTTCAATTTTGCCATATGTGAAAACCCCTAAATTTGGAGCTCTGAAACCCTAGAAAACGTTAATGGCAAATCTCGATACAGGCATTGTTAGGACAATTAAATGGTACCATTAGCTTCAGAATATCAATACTAGTGTAAATCAATTAACAAAACACATGAACAATGCTTGAAAATTAAAACACGATAATGGAAAAGTTCATGAAAAGTGCAATGATGTTCTACCAATTCTTGAGGTCTGGAGACTGGTTCTTGATTGCAACACGTTCCTAGCAATGTCAGGAATGTATTGGAATGCTTTTGGAGCTTTGAATCGTGCAGTAACTAGGATTTCAGTTTCCAACTTTTGGTGAAAATTTGGCAATTTGGTATGCAGCCTGTGTGCAGTTTTTCGTGTGTATCAGCATTAGGTCATGTTGTGCCTTTGTATTTGAAGCAAATTAGGTCAAAAAGCCAAGCCCAAAGTCCATGTATTGATGATTCCAATATTTGATTTTGTTCATATCTTTTCCAATCTTTTTCCATGTCAATTATGCCAAATATGGATGATTTTGTCCTTGTTGATTGATGCACGAAATATTTAGCTCATAATGGACATATTTGCTGCATAAAAAAGATTTAAAAACATGATTTGGTATTTTTCTTATATTTAAATTTAATTAAATGAATTAATGATAATAAAAATTCAAATAATTAATCAAAAATAAGAAAGTAACTCCCTTTGAGCTTAATGGGTCGTGCATAGCCTTTGGGTAATGATTCATGGAAGAATTTGTGGCCCATTAGCAATTTTGAAGCTTTTGAAACAAAGTTGACTTTTCAAAATTCCCAAAAATTTCCCAACTTCTACAAGGCATATCTTGCTCAATTTTGAAGCTATGATCATGTTCTTGTACATTTTGGAAAAGTCTTGAAGTCCTCTAACCAATGTCTTTGGTCCCATGTCATTTTGATTTACCAATCTCAAATTATGGTCTTTGACTTAAAGTGCCTTTTTGTTGACTTTTAAAAATGACCTATAATGTTGAAATTGATAACTTTTTGTGAGAGCATTTCTTGGACTTGAGGTGTGAAGATGAGTTGTAGGAAATGTCATCCTCTTCAAAATGAGATTTGGATGGGATTTTTCTGATAAACCATGAAGAAGTTATGCCTTGGTCAATTTGCAGTTGACTTTTCAACTGTCCAAAAATAGCAACTTTTTGCATCTTGAGACTTTTAGAGCCATGCTTTGAGAATCATGATCAAGAATTGATCAAATGATGTTTGTGGCTTCAAAATAATATATTGACCAAAAATTTTGACTTTTAACTGTCAAATAACCATTTTGCCCCTGCAGTTGACTGTGAAGCAATTAGGGTTTTTGACTGTGCAATTTGATGTTGTGAGTCTTGAAACTTGGCATATGGATGTTTGACAATGTTTATGAGCATGTGAGACTTGATTGGACCCTTGAAAACTTCATTTTCTTTGCCAGAACCAAAACCCTAATTTTGACTGTGCTAGGAGGCAATTGGACTGTGCAACCCTTGAGAGATTTTGAACCATGATCTTGGCAAATCTTGAAGAATATGGGAGGGCAAATTTTGGGGTACAACAGAAGACGTTCAAATCTATTGGAGTTCCAAGAAGCAAAATATTGTGGCTTTGTCATCATGTGAAATCGAATATGTGGATGCATCATATGCTGCATGCCAAGCAGCATGGATCGAAATGTTACTTGAAGAACTCAAGATAATGGAACTTAAGAAGATGAAGTTGTTTGTTGACAACAAGTCAGCTATTGACCTGGCGAATCGCCCAGTGTGTCATAGTCGAAGTAAGCACATAGAAAGAAAGTATCATTTTTTGAGGGATCAAGCCAACAAAGGGAAGCTAGAGATAAAGCATTGCAAGACATAAGTACAACTAGCTGACATATTTACCAAACCTCTGAAGAAAGTCAGACTCGACGAGTTAAAGAGAAACATCAGAATGAGAAGTCTCGAGAACATAAATTAGGGGGCGTGTTAGATAGTATACTTTTTGTTCTGTCGAAGTGCATAAGTGTATGTCGAATAGCTAGTGCTGATAGGTTGTCAGCTGTACTCGACTTTGTTGAATACAACAACTATTGTAGTATGTCGAAATGTAGTTTTGGGCTAAAGCTGTATATAGTCGAAGTGGACCTGGACATTGTATGTCTATAAAGGGTTTGTTAGTTTATAATTTCAACAACAATCAATGCAATCACAATTCAGTTAGAATCATAACAAACTTTCAATCTCTTTCTATCTTCTTCTTCTTCTTCCTCTTTCATAAATCATCTTTCTTGAAAACCCTTTATTTCAATATTGAATATTTGAATGTTAAAAAAGCAGAAAATAAAAAATGCTTTTTTTTTTGCATAGACAGTTTTGCAAAAAGGTGTGAAAAAGATCATGTTCCGTATAAAGAGATCATATCCTCAATTAAACAAGTTTCATCAAAGGGCCAACCAATTACCATATTCATGTCCAGAGACAAGTTATTTTCCTTTCTACTTAGAAAGTTGGGTGTTGCTAAACTTAAACTAGTTATTCTACTTGAAAACTATGCATAACCACCAAATAAATGTTTCTTATGTAAACTATAGTATATTTATTTATTCTTCTTATAAATACTTCCCCTGCATGTTGTGAAATGAGGACCTAGCAAAAATATTAATGGATCATGAGCATTGCAATGTTGGCTCAGAAAATCAGTGTCTCAAAAAGACACAAACTGTATCTGTGACAAGTGTGTCACCGGTTAAAATTACCGAACCGCGACAAGTTTGTCAAATTATATTCAACGATGATGAAACATCGAATCAAAAGATTCATGCAATAAGAAATATTCAAGGATGCTATCATATGGTATTGTACTATGAGAATGTTGAAGAGGAACATCATGATTGGTCTTTAACCGGTTGGATTGTGGAGTCCCTAGCTAGGACCCTTTTGAATCATCCTCTACTAGCTGGTCGAATCCAAAAAAGAGACGACTTATCAGGATTCGAAATTGTGTCCAATGATTCCGGAATTCGACTCTTAGAAGCTCAAAGTTCCGCCACTTTGTCTGAGTTTCTTGAGTCGGATAAAAAGGATCGCGATGATCGCGAGGTCGAGCTTGTTTTTTGGAACGAAATTGATGCTCAATTTCCCCAGTTCTCTCCTCTCTTTTATGTTCAGGTAAGTAATCATATTCACACATCCTCTAATTATATTAGATTAATGAGTTATTCAATAAATCTAAAAAGTTAAATATCTATAATAGTGATATGATCCGAGGATAAAAAAATTTATCAGACACTTGAAATTTGATCTAATTTGGTGATGTGATTTTTTTTAGGTGACGAAATTTATATGTGGAGGATATTCGATCGGCATTAGTTGTAGTCTTCTTTTGGCTGAAATTTTGGTTGTTAAAAAATTCCTAAATAAATGGGCAAATATTTACAACATGTTACCTTCAATCTCAAATAAAGAAATTGACACCACCACGTTTAACTATCTTGATCTAAACATTCCAAAATTTCTCTCATCAGAGGACTTAAACAACCATACTCAAAACAAAAACAAAGTTCAAAGTGTTGTATTCAAAATCACTACTAAGGATGTAAATTTTAGCAAAGAGGTGTGGAGGGAATTGGCAATGGTTTGCATTGAAGAAGTGGAACAAAAGCTAGACATGAATATAGGTTCTAGTTTTACTTTGGTTGTTAAAGAATTCTTGGAGGTGATTGAGGTTGAGAGTGTCACAAAGAGTGGAATTGAGAATCAAATTGTTTGTATTACATCATGGAATGACTTTGAGGAGGATGAGATTGTTTTTCATGAAGATAATAAGGCTGTTCATGTTTCTTGTTGGATTGGATCGGTTGCGGATGCACTTGTGATGATATTCCCATGCATAGAGGAGAATGTGTGTGGTGTGATTGTGGTTGCACCCAGTTAAAGTATGTGATATATGGTCCTTTGAATTTGATGCATATGATGCTTTTTAGTATAATAATAATAATGTGGCGAGTCCAATAATATTTGTCTTTTCTAAGTGTTGATGATAAAATTAATTTTGTAAGAATAAAGTCATATACAAATTTAAAAGATTCTATTGATATTATTTTGTTAAATAAAAAAGGGCAAGCACACAAAGAAAAACAAGAGGAAGAAAAAGCTAAGCCTCTACTAAGAAGAGCAACACTCTTATTAAAAAGCATAAAGAGACAAAATCAGAACAACTTTAAAGGCTTAGTAGGAACAACACCATAGGTGGTAAAGGAGAAATATGAGGTTTGAATATATTCGATAGTGTGATACGATTGTAGAATCGACTGTTTAATACTGGTTTGCGCTTTGCGTTTTTTTTATTCACAAAATGTCGCGGTAAGCAAGAGTCGCCACCGACTTTTATTTATCCAATCGGAAAGGAAAAAAGTACAGAAAAAATCTTTTTTCGAGATATTCTGAGTACGGGGGGTAGATTATAGAAAGGGAAGGTGTTAGCACCCTTTCTATCCATGGTTTTCCATGGGCTCTTAGGTACTTGCTCATTTTGAAATTTCTTGTGTGTGTGCTTTGTTTTGTTGAAAAGTTTAACTTCGTGATAACCCTTGTATCAGTCCTCAAGAGTGTGACGAAGTTGTTTTGAAAATTTGTTTGAAAAATGTATGTGTGAAAAGTTTTGATTTGAACAAGTACATACTAGCATCTATCTACTCGAGAAAAGATCGTTTCTATTCTTGTTTCCTTTAGATAGCGCTATCCCACTATTGAGAAATAGGTAGCACCGTCGTTGGAGTTGTAAGGGTCAATTCGAAAGGGACATACGGTCACTAAAGCAATATTAGGACACCTTAGTAGTAACCCTAGAGTCTTAAGATCTTTTTCGAGGCAACATTTTCGAGGCAATATTTCCGAGGCAACGTTCAAATGGGACATTCGATCTTTTTAGACGGGAGGGCAACCACTAAGACACCCTATGCTTAATGATCGTTTATCAAAGGCAACCGAATTGAGAGTAAACCCTAAGAGTGAATATGTGCGAGTGATCCATTTTCAGTTATTTAATCTTTGCACATTAGGGTTTTCTAGCCATTTTAATTTGTCATTCATTCTTGCCATTCAATCCTATTAGCCATACATCTACACAGTTAAATATTTACAGGAATTAAAAATGCGAAAAAATAAACCTACGCAGTTACAAGGCTTCGGGGAGGGGGATTACTTACATAACCAAAAATCGGGGATTTAAACAGTAAATAAAAACCCTAAATTAACTATTACAAACCATGGACAGTTACAAAAATATTGGGAAAATAATTAATAAGCGCGCGGCGAATTAAATGCGAGGACGATTAGGGTTTTGACCCTTTGACTAAACCTATTTGCGACTGCTAAAGAAAAAAAAATGTTTTTTTGTCATGTTTTGTTATTTGAGAAAATAATGGAATAATTAAATTAAAAGAAAATCCTAAGTTCTAATTAATATTAATTTTTGAAAAATAAATAAATAAATTCTAAACAACCTATTTTTGTATTTTTTTTTGAGAAAAAAAAAGAATTAAATCAAGAACTTAAACCTAATTTTTCTAATTGGTTTTAATTATGAAAAATAAGTTAAATTTCCCTATATTAACTTAAACTAAATTAAATTAAATTTGATAAAAAACCTAATTTAAATTTTTGTGAATTCTTGATTTAATGATTTTATGAAAAAAAATTGATTTTAAAATAAAATAAATAAAGAATAAAAAATAAAGCAAAACAAAATAATTAAAAAAAATGAGGAATGGGCCTGATAGTGTTAGCAATTCTGGGGGGTTTAAAGTTAAATTTATGGGCCCAAAAACTCTAAGCCTGGTTGACTACGCCTGATCTGGTGCAACGTTGACTTGGATGTATATCATGATCCTTCATTGGAGAGGCGTTGGATCTGGCTTGCTGGTGAATCTGATGGTCAGATCTTTGAGCTGCATGGTGGACACATGGAAAGGTAGTGCACCTGATCATATGAAGAAAAATAATACAAAGCAATGGTTGGGACCTGGGATCGAACCCAGGTCCTCATGCTCAATTCCAACGCTTGCTTGCCAGCTGTGCTACGCGTTCTTGTTATTCATATAATAGAAGCAAAAGAATATAATCAAATCAAACAATATATTCAGAAAATGCGCGAAAATTTAAACCAACCAACCAATGACTGCCACACCTCATCTTCTTCCTTGGACCGTCGCTATAGAAAACAAGACTTTTACCTACAGACGTCCACTGTAGGTATAACCATGTTCATCTCCAAAATTGCATACGAGCAAGATAAATGAAAAGTACTGATACCAATCAACTCGTCTCATCCTCACGAGCATCATGGCACCAGAATCAAGGCCTAATTTTTCCTGCATTGAGAAACCCTAAAACGAATACAGAAACCCTAGCAATGACAATATCACGTACAGGCATCAAAAACGCAATTAAATGGCATGGTTAGCTTGCAAACATGATGACAAACGTGAATATAACAATCAAAAGTGCTAATGATGCATAAATTGCAATAATCAAATTTGAAAAAGCTTGCAAACCGTGTGAGGGGTAGAGCGCGTTTCTGGGCGTTTCAAGACCTGGGAGTGATTGGAATAGCTTCCTGGGATGCCTAGCAAGCGATTGGAATGGCTAGGAGGGCTTGAGATAGCATGTGGAATGAAAACCAGTTCCCACTTTTCTTTGAATTTTTCAGTTTTGTTCTGTGCTTTACACGACCACTAACCTTTGTTTTTTTGATCTGGAAAGCTTCATTGTATAACCTAGAATGAATTAGGTTAACAAACTTGGCATGAATCTTTGCATTTATCCAAGATTTTATTTGATTTTCGAGTTGTATGATATGTTGCTATTTTGAGCCAAATCATGCCTTTCTTGTACCAATTTCCCTTGATTCGAATTGATCTTGTTTACTCAGCATATCTTGATTGCCAAACTGTCAAAAAAACAAATCAAATCATATCTTTGTTAATTTTCATCATTTATTTGATTTAATCCACTTTTTAATTAATTAAAAATAAAAATAAATTGAAAAATGAAGCACATAATGGGTGAGTGAACATTTGAGTCGTGGACCACATTATAATTGAGGTGCAAGCATAAAAAGTTGGGCCTATTTGGCAAAAATAATTCAAATTTGAGCACATTTGACTTTTGGCAATTTTGTAAGACTGGCCAAATTGGCCAATGTATAACTCTCTCAATTTTGACCCTAGAGATGTGTTCTTTGAATTTTTAGAAAGCCTAGGATGTCCTATAAACAACCCTTTTTGTCTCATCTCAATAGAGTCTTCCATGTTCATGTATGAAGCTTTGACCCAAAAGGTATTTTTGTTGACTTTTCAAAAGGACCTATAATGTCAAAATTCACATCTTTTTGTGAGTGCATATTTTGGACTTTGGAGATGAAGATGAATTGTAGGTAATTGCATCCTCTTCAAAATTAGATTTGGATGGGTCATTTCTGATAAAGTATGAGAAAGTTATGCTTGGTCAAAGTTGAGTTGACTTTTCCTGTAAAACCCTAATTTAGCAAATTTTGGGTTTTGATGAATTGTGAGAAATCCTTGAGGAATCATGATCAACCCTTGATCAAATGATGAATAATAATTAAAAATGAGGATGTTGACCAAAAATCTTGAAGTTTGACTGTATGTGGGCCACATTTGACTTTTGACCTAATACAGTTGATTTTCAGGCATTTGAGCAATTGACTGAGCAAACTTCTTCTGCAAGGCTTAAAACTTGACATGGATGATCTTGAGAACATATTAGGACAATGGTGAGCATTTGAGTCCTTTTTTGTTCACACATCTTGATGAAGATGGAAACCCTAATTTGAGGTATACTGCCTTAAGAGAGAGTTTGTCTGGTTAACCCTTGAACTTCCTTGAGCAATTTGGGGACCTCACTTGCCATGTGTTGAGAAATACGGAAGGGAAAATTTTGGGGTACAACAGCTGCCCCTGTTCAATCTTCTTAAACCTGAGGATGTAGATTGGTTGGTCTGCCTTTCGTGATCTGAAGGTGGAAGATGATTGAACACTAGAGTTCCCAGAAATTTGCACTCGCATGAAATGACACTTGATTTGCAATATCGAGAATAGGCTTATAGATGCCATTTGGAAGTCGAGTATTGAAGATTTTCGGGGATGGGCTTAAAGACGCCATCCGAAGAGGTGTCGATCACATAAGAGATTCCTTTGCGAGAACCCGTATACCTGTTATTGAGGAGGACTTCGCTGGGGAATGATGGTCTCTGTCTTGGGAGAAATAGAGTTTTAGGAGGTTCAGTTGTCTGTTACTCTACTGGGGAATAACTCCGGTTTGGGGAAGCGGAATTGAACTGCGTATCTGGTCGGGTATATGCTGCACCGCAACTTATTGGAGAGATGCGAAACCAATCGTGTTTGATCAGCTCCCGGTCTTACAGTGTTGTGGACTGCTGTCTGGGGATAAGAGAGGAAGAACCAGGATAGTAAGGTTATTAGAAGGAACCTGGATAGTAGGGTTGCTTCGATATGAAAGCATGGATAGTAGGGCTGTGAGAAGGAGCCTGGATAGTAAGGTTATGAGAAGGAATCTGGATAGTAGGGTTGCTTCGATATGAAAGCCTGGATAGTAGGGCTGTAAGAAGGAACCTGGATAGTAGGGTTACTTCGATATGAAAGACAATATAGTAGGGCTGTGAGAAGGAACCTGGATAGTAGGGTTACTTCGATATGAAAGCCGAGATAGTAGGGCTATGAGAAGGAACTTAGATAGTAGGGTTACTTCGAAATGAGTTTGGGTAAAACTACATAGGGAACCTGGGTGATGTTACTTCGGTCACACCGATGATTACTCTGTTTAGCTTCGAGTGTTGGTCATGGACCTGCTGGAAATTGTTGATAATAACTGTCTTTCCTGAAAGAAATACAG